AGGGGTTCTTACGACAGCAGATATGCTCCCTCCGATCTCTTCCGTCTGCTGGTCCGAACTCGGAACTCTTAGCACCGAGACATTACGATCTACTCATGGCAGCTGCCATCGTCTTTGGAGATGAGCAGTCGGAATGTGATCAGCTGGAGCTTCTCTGCGACACATTCGACGGCCTCGGAATCTCGCTCAACGACCTCGTCATTACCTCCCTCGACGATAGTGATAATTCCATCTCGCCGCTGATGTTGGCGTCATGTTGTGGGAACGCACACGCGGTCCGCGTGTTAGCCAAGGCCGCCGATGGCCCTTCGGCGAAGCAACAAAGGTGCGGAGACGGTCCAATCCCGCTCCATTACCTGTTTGCGTTCGCAGAAGACGACATAGACGACGTCTGCCGCATTCTAGCCGACGGCATCTCGCTGGAGGGCATACACAGCGGACTGTTCTATCCAGCCGGCCACTTTTGCTCCCTTGCCGGCAGCCCTCTCGACTTTTCTCTAAAAGTCGGCAGCGTGGCGGCCACGGCTTCACTCTGGAGGCAGATTTACAGCAGGGATCACCGTTTTCGGGAGACGATCAGGGTCTATCCCAGTATGGACAGCAAGTTCCTAGAGACGATCCCGCATCTCGTCGACATACCACCGTTGGACGCCTTTGCCATTCGGTGCTGGGGGAGCATGCAGCCGTCTATGTGGGAACTCTTCCTTACGTTGCTGGACGAAGAAGAGGATCCACAAGCTACCAGAGTCGAAATGACAGCAAGGTTGAGGGAGCGTGTGTTCGACGGCGACGTCTCAGATCGCGGCCACTACTACTTCATCACCTGCATCATCCTTACTTTTGCGTTCCCGCTCTTGCCCATGCTTCTTCACGGGCCAAAATACACGGAACGTCTCACCCAACAGCTGCGCCGGGGCATGAAGTTTTTCATGGACGTCAGTCACCCAGACTTCGTTCCGTTTCTCTTCGATCCGGTAGTCACCCTCACACCCGATCCTCATTTGCAGGTTGCCCTCGTCGAAGCTTGCCAAGGTTTGGGAACCGCGCCGGAGGCGGCACAATATGACACCGAGACACTCAAGGGGCTCTTTTTCTTGCTCATCGTGAAGGGTGCAGAGCAGCGACTGAGCCTGGGCCATTCGTTGGGGTTTGTCATGCCCAAGAATCAGCCGGCGGAGACTATCTTCAAGGCCCTTGCGGCAGCGGCGGGGGCCGGCGACGCGCCGGCATATCGGAGGATCGTACAAAAATCGGCAGAATATGGCATCAACCTGCCAGAGGAAGGGGCGGTACAGTTTTTGGCCGCATGGTTTGCAAGGAATCATAACCCTCTTCAGCAGCCGGCAAACGTAATACGCCAATACCTAGACGCAGTTTCGGAGATGCCCGTCCTCCCCCAGTCAAGGTCAGGGAGGCCCTGGCGATTCACATTTGTCCCCACCTGGCTCCACGTCAGCGCGATGGAACACAGGCACTCCAAGACGGGTCGCGTACTCTGGGACGCCGTCAAGTACGACAACCTACCGCTAGTCCTCGCACTGGTCGACCGCAACCCGTCGCACCTTTACCCGGGGCTCATTGAACCGGGCGTGTTTTTCTTGCTTTGCGTCAACGACCGACACAGGGCAGTGCTCCAGGGACTGCTGGAGCACCTTGGCCCCGCCAAATCGCTGGACTGTCTGCGGCGGCGCACCCGGTTCCCATCGCGCTTGACGGCCATGGACGTGGCCGTCTACCATGGGAGCACGCAGTGTTTGCTTGTCATTGCGAGGTTCCTTTCTGCCGCGGTTGTTCCGCTTGACGCCCTGTTTCCAGGAAATAAAAATGGCAATGGTCTGATGGATACGTTGCCTGTCTCCTTGTTTGACTGCGCGCGAGGCTACCAGGTGCTCATGGGCCTGAGCGGCGTCCTGGCCAGCCCCTGGCGTGCTCTTACATCACGCCAGTGGGGGTCTGATCTTGAAAGCCACGTGGGTGAGGCGATCGTAGTACCGGGGCTTCTTTCGATTGTACCGTTTGTGTGGGAGATGTGTCGCCATGAGCCAGCCAGATTCGAGGCGGTCCAGTCTTCGGTGAAGCAGTAAGTCTGACCCAGCTTCATCACTTCCCACGGATTGCTGACAGGTTCATGTTCTTCCGGTTTCTTAGATTGTTCGGGGCCGACTTCGACATCAGTTTAGCCTCTCAACGAAACAACAACAGGCCAATGTCCAAGGATAAGCTCGACCCCGCCGACGAGGTGGGTATGGTCTGGGCTGTCTCTTGCGTTGGAAAGGCAGCCAAACACTGGAAGCTCTCACTCCTTGTCGTTGGGATTTTCACCTACACATCAGTCACCGTATCTCGTGTGCTAGTAAGGGAGCTTTTCATCAGGAAGGGGTGATAGGCTTGAGTTATAGCGACTACCGCAGTCACATAAAACACAACCGTCGACATTAAGTTTTGTCCCCCGCCTATCCTTCGATGAGTCCGTGGGCATTTCTATTCCCCGCCAACTCACATCACTGACCTTTACCTTTCTGCCTGATGGAAAAGGGTACCATGGATCCCCTGATCAGCGACAATGAGTCTCCCACGCGAATAATCGTATCGCGATGTATCCCCCTATCCTCCTCATGACTCGCATACTCAAGACGAACACGAACTGGCAGCTCGAGGTGAAGTCCCCCGTCCGGCCCAGCAGCCCCGCCTCATCCGTCGGACTACCAGCGCCAGGAAGAGGAGGGCGGCCAACGACGTTCTGGGGTGTCGGCAGATGGTCTACGGTCAAGGGGGCAGGCCGCACGAGGGCCCGGACCATCCCTGCGCCGTCCTTACAAATCACCTGATGTCGGGATGGCACGGGAAACTATTGCGCTGATGCGATAAAAAGATGATCACCAGTGGCCGCACAGACATCTGGTATTACTTCGAGCAGTTCCCTTGCGACTACACACCCCCTGTTGGACAACGATTCAATTTGTGGCTGGCTATTCAATCGCAACCCAACCAAATCCCAACCTGACCCCTCCAAGGTAGCAGGGACCTTGAAATTGGGGGTAGAAATCTGCGACTTCGTAGTCGCGGCATGGCTTGGAACCCGACGTTCCGTGGAGCACGGGGTTGGGTTCCGAGAGTAACGGGTGGTATTAGAATCAGCCGGAAAGGACTGGATGCGACGAAGATGCTGTACTCTCACGTCGATGCTGGCCGAAGGCGGGGGGGCAGAAGCCTGGGCCTGGAAGGCAACAAGACCCAAGACGGCCAGGGCGCAGATGCGGCTGTCATGGTATTTGTTGCCGTCGATTTGAGAAATCGGGAGTTGAAGTAATGGTTAAGCTGTCGGAATCTATTATATTGTTACGATGGGGTCCAGGACAACGAAACGTTCGAGCAGGTTCCGTGGTCGACTCGTATATGCTCCAGGGAGTGAAGAGAAGACCAATTCCTTTTCTCGACCGGACTCCTTATGACACCTTGATGTCTGTCTTGCACAGCACCCTAGATTGACAGTTTTTCCGAAAGGTAAGGTTAAGCCATCCGGCAAGGTTAACTGCTATGATGAGGATAGTCCAATAGTGAGTAGACAATATCAGAAGCCGCGAAATCTGGTTTTATGGCTTCTGAGCTGGTGAGCGCATAACCCGGTGAGGTAAACGAGATGCAGAATGCACCTAGATTACGGCCCTGGGCTGCCGAAAACTATCGCAATAGACAAGTTGGAAATACGGCAAGGCCGGCGTTCCCAACTACGGCCTTGTTTACACTCAAGTATCTTCCGACTACGTACCATCAACATAATCCGCCCCGCCTTGTTCTCGCCTAGTTAACGCCGTTAGGACGCTTCCTAAGGTACGGACTATCTAAGTCGTTACACTTTAGGTCTCCAGCTGTCAGGTAAGTAACACGAAAAATAAAGAAACAAAGGCGAAACTGATCAGTTTCACAATGTGGTCCCACTCGGCTAGATTTGAAGCAATTCAGCAGGCTGCGCCATAGCTTGCCGAAAATAGCTATTAGGGTGAGCAAAGGTGAGCAAGTCCGAGCAAAAATTGAGCCAGGCCTGAGCAGCGTCACGTGGGCGAGGTACAAAAAAGGAAACTTCGTGTGCCCAGAATCGTCTCAGACAATAGATCGATGCATCACGCCTTAGTTTGCCCGCCGACAAACTTGAACGCGCCATTTTTCGCATGACCAGAAACAAGAACTGAGGCTCGGCTTTGGCAACCCTCCCCCGCCACGTCCCTACCCCCTCGTTCGTTCCGCCTCTAGTGACTGACTGTCACTTGTGCCCGATCCTCGAGCACTGCAGCCGCCTGGGCATCGAGGTCCAGCCCAGCTGTCGAGAACCGGACGAGCCACCTATTCTCAAGTATAGCTTGACTCACTAGTGAATAAGCCGGGGACGTCGATACAGTGCCATGACGGTGGGACTCACGTCGATCTGCCTTCATTGGAGTGTGGGAGTGGACTGGGCGGGCTCTCAGCTGCGCCGGACTTCCTTCTACCACTCCTTGGTGGAGGGACACGATGCAAGTCAATCTGGACGGCTGCGGGTTCATTCTGCCGGGGTGGTCGAGGTCCATATACAGGGACTACGAAGCCATTCCATGTCCTCAAATTGCCAAGTTCAGGGCTACCTGGGATGTAACTAGAAGGGGGGGGGGGGTGCGGGACTGTCCGATGCCAAGGGGAGGGGTGGTCAGGGACGATCGTTGATGGGACGGGGATTTTCAGAGGCGGAAGAGCCAAGGTGTCCTTTGATGACGACGCCCGGGACCTTCGTCGGTTTCGAGTGATTCATGGGCTTGAGGCTGGTGTCAGGCCGAGGATGTAGGGTAAGGGCAAGGGCAAGAACATCGTCGTGTCCTCGAGGACAAGCACGGACCAGGCAGGTCTTCTCATAAAAGGCGGTTCCCCCTCAGACTTCAACACTTTTCCTTTTCTTCTTCTCTCCATCAGCTTTCATACTGATCACTGCCATCATCACCAGCTTTCATGCTGGTCATCACATGACACGGGGGGGAGTAGCTCAGTGGCAGAGCACTCAATGTTCTTGCAGACAGCGGTTGATTTGAATCTTGCTTTTTTTCTGACCAGAATATTTTATCAAGCGGTTGGTGAGGGAGCGATCGGTCCTGGGTTCGATTTCCAGCTCCCCCAAAACATTCCTGCCCGGGGTCAGTGGACATTTGTCCATTGGGTCCGGGCTTTTTTTATGTCATTTTTTTCTCAACCCATCCTAGGTGCTCACTCCGGGCAGTGAGGGCTGTCCAGTCCAGTGCACCAGACTCATGGTAGACGTCGTTCAGGTAAGCGCCCATTTTCAATCTTGACCCACTGAGTGGGTGTTCAGCGCGTCGCTCGCTGAACCGATTGGCTCTCGTCCCAACCAATCGACCCGGCTCAGGACAGCCGCGCTGCGCTTCTCGAAACACCACAATCAGGCCGTCGATTCCCGACTCTTTAACAATGCTGGCCGTGTCGGGTCGATTTCAGGTTGTAGTTTGTACTACCTACTACATAGGAGCAATCGGCCCAGCCCTGTGACACCGTGATCATTCTGTCCTATCCATCCATGTGACCACACTCCCGTTTCCAACGTCCACTGACATGGCTCAAGATTCCGGGCATTCTTCCACCCACAATATCATCACCAACCGTGACGCCGTCATTGCCTTGACCGACATCCAGCACTTCAACCACAACACACACCCAGCGCTCACACCACGACAGCTGTACGCGACCCTGCCCCTGTCCGCCACGGATCGATCAATTCGACTCCTCGACTTGGACGCTGCTACCGACGAAACCCCTTTGTCTGGTCGTCTCCGGGTGGCATCGCTTGCGTCGAGCCCTCGCTTCACTGCCTTATCATACGTTTGGGGCGGGTACTCGGAGCCCAGGGACACCATCTCGTGCAATGACAACTCCTGCGCCATCGACATCACCTCCAATTGCCGCGATGCCCTTGTTGCTGCGCGGCGGCGCTACGGCGCAGTCACAATCTGGGTCGACGCCATCTGCATCAACCAGGGCGACGACGCGGAAAAGGTGGTGCAAATTGAGCTGATGAATGAGATTTACACCTGGGCACATACCACGCTAGTCTGGCTGGGAAAGGGAGATGCCTTTTCGGATGTGGCGTTGACGTGGTTGGCAAAGAACGCTCGAGGTGTCATGATCACGGATGTTTTTCGCTTTGGAAGTGCACCAAGCCAGGCTGGAAGAGTGCAGGCTTGGTGCAAGATAATCGGGGCCATCATGACCGATCCGTTCGAGCAAGGGGTTGCTTGGCTGAGATTGGAACGGAGTGTTTGGGGTGACTCAACGACGTCCTGGATAGGTAGGGAACCACCCAAACATCAGGGCGTATGCGACTACTCGGTCCGGTATTGACATGCGTTATACAGACAAATTATTCTGGAAGGGCCGCATTCACCGCGGTTTCGAACCCGCGGCCCTCGACAATCTCTTCTCGAAAGCGTGGTTCCAGCGGGCCTGGACGTTCCAGGAGTACATCTTGTCAACAAACCAGATCTTCCTGTGTGGCGACAAGGCAATAACCGGGGACAACCTCATCGGTGGCCTCGAAGCTCTCTTCAAGGGTTTCGAGGGCACCGATGTCATGCCCACAATCTCCCGCAGTGTCTCCAGCATGCGAGACCTCGCCGTCGCCTGGATGAACGTCAGCCGCCTTACCCAGTGGAACAACCAGGAGCCTGTCCGCAGAACACTCCCCCTGGCGACATTGCGCGCCTATCAACAAACCGCCCTCGCCACTCTCCTGGAACCATCCACGATTCTCGCCGTCTGGACAACCTACGTCCTCACCCTCGCCACCCTCAGCTTCCTCATCATCTTCACCGTCGTCATCCTCCTCGGCATCATCCCCGCCGTCCTCCGCCGAGAAGTCGCCCAGCTTCTAACCGCCAGCTGGATCACGCCCATGTCCCTCGTCGGCATCGGGCTGGCCGCTTTCCTCCTCGCGCTGATGGCATTCGGCCTAATCAACCTGTTCAGTCCCACCCGGCAACACCACAGCAGCCTCCGCCGCGGCAACCACCGTTTCCCTCACACATGCCGCCAACCCGGCTTCACCCTCCCCCCCGCATCCTCCACCGTTGCAGCTCGAAAACGCTCAGACAGCTCCAGCATCGAAGACAGCCTCTCTAAGCCCCAAGATCTAAAAGCCTCGGACTCAGAAACAGTCCACCTCGCCGCCATCCTCCACGCCCTCCGCGAGCGCGACGCCACGAACCCGCGCGATCGCTCCTTCGCCCTGCACGGCGTGCTCTCCCGCCTCGAGGGCTTCCATCTGACCTCCGTCGACTACTCCATCTCATGCACGCGCATCTACCAGGCCCTCGTGGCCGACTTCATCCGCTGGCGTCCGGACATGACGAACCTGCTCCTCGACGCGGGCTGGTCCCGGGTGGGAACGTCGGGGGAGGAGGAAGACCCGGCGCCGTCGTGGGTCCCGGACTGGGACGTCGTCTCCAGGAGGAAATCAGTTCGACAAAATCCAGGCCTCTTCGCCCCGGACAGGTACTACCGCCCGCACGAGCAGTCCTTTGCCACGGACGGCTGGCCGATGCGCGCCGAGGTAGACGGGGATAGGCTCCGCGTCGCTGGGGTGTGGATCGGGCAAGTCGGATTCAGCACCGGGGTGTTTTCCCGCGTCTCGTCGGAGATGGGGGTCACAGACGGCGTCATCAGCGCAGAAGACCGGCAGGCACGGATCCGCGCCACAGCTGCTGATTACCTGCTCTGGAGGCAGATCGCTGTGCTGGCGATATGGGTCCTGTACTGCCGGCGGAACCCCTCGCTGAAGTATGAAAGCGTCCCGAACGTCATGCACGCCGTCTTGTGCGGCCCTGCGAAACCGACTTTGGGACGGAAGCATACTGCGACTGCCAGGAATGGGTTCTTTGCCGTGTATCAGGTTCTTTCCGCTGCTGAGCCGGCGGCCGTGGACCGCGCGGCCGCTGGCGAGCCGGAAGAGGCTGAGGTGAAGCTTCGTCGATTGTTTGAGGAGAGAGAGGACGGGCTGTTTGCGTTGACTCTTGCTGTGAAGTACATCAACGAGTACATTGCTGAGAGAAGGGCATTGTTTGCTACCGAGAGGGGGTTTATTGGCGCAAGTGCGACGGGAGTTCAGGCTGGTGATCGGCTGGCTCTGATTGCTGGGGTCAGCGTACCCATGGTGCTGCGGGAGAAGGGGGGAAGCGGTGGAAAGTATTTCGTCGTCGGGCCAGCTTTTGTACCAGGGTTTATGGAGAGTGGTGATGTTGGAATGGTGATCACCGAGACGATTACGCTTGTCTGATATGTTTCAATGTTATTTGGAAGGGTTAAGGAAAGTGTGTGGCCCCAATGATGAAAAGGGGAAGCCTAAGCGATGAGGTAGTGTCAGTGGCCAAGTGATGTTGACGATCAGGGAACACGACGACGACGTTGTGTGCATACCCCAAAGTCCAACATCCAGGATCAATACCTAACTAATCGTCATGTGAAACCTCCCATCAAATTCCAAGGTCTCGGACGGCCTCACTGGGTCGGTCGCCAGTGACGCCAAGCAGATCCGCACCGCGAAGATCTGATGACGTCAACGGCACTCACACATAAAGAACCCCCCCCCCGGCACTAGACGACAGACGGCAAATGCGACATCAACAACACGAGAGCACTCACTGAACAACTAAGCCAATCCACCCAGAATCCCCAAATACATCACAAACCTACCCCCAGTCACAATGCAGTCTGCCCCCGAAGGCACCTACGGCCCGCACACCACCCGCGCCGCCAACACCCTCGACCCCCGCGTCGACTCGGACATGGACCACCGGAGCGCGGCGCCCACTACCCACCAAGCCCCCGTCACCGCCGGGCTCAACTCGACCGCCTCAACCACCACGGCCACCACCGAGAACACTGGCGAGCGCATCGCGCGTGGCATCAAGGGCAAGATCGCTCAGGGGCATGTACGTCACCCCCTCTCCCCCCGGCTTTCCATATGTGCATGCATAGATGGGTACTGACTGTGTTCAGGGCATCACGGAATCCCTCCGCGGCAACATCATGTCGGGGGTTGATAGTCTGGTGGGTGATACGGTGAAGCAGCCGGAGCATGAGGCGATTGCGGCCGGGGGGGATCGGGAGGTTTTGACCAAGGAGTTTGAGAGGAAGGGGACGCTGCATAAGAGTTTGTAGATTCTTGCATTTTTTTTCTTTCTACTTGGGGGTATCTTGGGTGGCGTTTTGATCTACGAGTTGGATGTTGCAGGGAGAAGTGGTGCTTGTCTGCGCCTTGGATGCGAATGAAGTCCAAGAAGTCGTACCGAAATTAATTTCTTGGTCTGCTAAAAATATGCGTCTTTGCAAGGGTCGGCCGGGCGTGTTGCACCAGCCAAGCCTTCGGCTGTGGCGAGCCGTTGTCGATGCATTCTTACAGGGGTATGGCTGTCCCGAGATTGCCCAAGTTTCCCATAGGGCTGTGGTGGTGGGACATTTTCCGGTCATGTCATCAGCGTCGCGACGGACATGGCCCTATCAACGGTCGGGGTGTCAGCGACACGACAGAACGATGTGTTGGCTGTTTACGACATTTCCTCTTCCGGTCCCGGACGTGTCAATGTGCTGCAGGGCGGGGGCGAAGTCGAGGTTGACGAGGGAGATTAAGGTTCCATGTTCTGGATTGATGCCACCTGAATGGGTCAAAATTTGCGACGTTCCCCTCGGCTCCGTCCTTGTGGAGTGGCACAGTCGGGGGGGGGGTTTGCGGCGAGTGTCAATAAGGGGGGACTCGGGGGGCCATTTCAGTCTTTGCGGCTCACGGCCAGAGGTATCTCCATCTCGTAGGACGGATACTGGAGCCGCATTATCAGGTAAAGGTCCCTTTTCTGGCCGTGACTGCGCCCTGGATATGCGGGCTGAAGAGCGTTGGCCTTGTGGCTTTGAAACAGGCGTTCCATGGTCGCATCGTCTGTGCGCTGCTAGGTAGTCTTTCAGCGCTGCTTGCTGAACGGGGCGCCAAGGCCTGTTCTCAGCACAAACAGTTGAAAAACTTTGTCCAACATGTCTTCCTGTTGATAGCATTCCACGGCTATAAAGGCTGGTCTCGACCTTCGATGAACTCGGAGGCGACAAACAATGTCATGGGA